GCCATGAATACACTTGATAACTGCTTGCAGACTTCCAGTGGTCATTGTTTATGTCTGGACTTTTGAAACAATAGCAAAATAAAGGGTTGGGCAACTACTCTTTTGTTTAGGCTTGGGAAGAACAATGCAAGCTTTTTACAAATAATTTCAGCTGGATGTACGTTGGTGGGCGGGTGTTGAGAGTTCCTAGGCGGCCGTAAAACTTGGTGGGCGGGCCGCCCGCCTAAAACCCCTTGTGGAGAACACTGGAGGTTATTACAAGGATACCTCAAAGTATGCACAAGTATGCAGCGGAGGTCGATGTGATGGAGTACTGTCTGAGTGCATACTTTGAGGTATCCTCGTAATAACCTTATTATTATACCGGTACATTTTTTCCTTCCAAGAATACATCATGGGAATGCCGAAATCCAAAATGTTTAGAACTGAATCAGCGAACTTCTTTGTGTGGAATCCGGTCTACCCTGGTGGCAGCCATGTTTGTTTTTATTATTAAAGGACACTTACGTGCGTAATCAAACCATATTAGAAATTCGCATTTCCTTATATGGTGGGATGAAAATACCCGTAAAATACCGCAAAATTACGACACACTGTAACTTATGGCATTACGGTGACAGATAATAAATACATGTAACGCATCATATACTTGTAAAGTAGTATCAGGATTTTTCGACTATTATTTTTTTCCTATCAGAATCATGTTTCCCATGATTTTGTTCCACAATTGTTTTTTTCTCTGGGATTTTATCTTCTGGAACACAGAGTCAATTTAAATAACAATGTAGAATAACATTACTAGAAAAATAAGTCTGACGGATGACCCACATTAAAGGTCACACAATCTGGCACTTTGCATGACCCCATTAAAGGTCACACATCCTGGCACTTTGCATGACCCCATTAAAGGTCACACAAAGTATTTTTATTATAGGAATAATTTACGAACTACTGGCATATTTTGAAAAAATAATTTTTATTGATAGTGAGTGAGATTGTCTGCCTAGAAAGTACCTGGGTGTGAGAGTTTAGAGAGTGCTGTGTATGGATGATGTGGTGAATTTGCAAAGGACATACCTGAGACCGTCCCTCTCTGTAATCCATCCTAACAGCTAAGTCAACATCATTAAATAACTCCTCAGTATCAATGCCCAATGCACCACCTCCAATGTCAAGTCCAAGTCTCTTCTGGAGAATTCGTTTTTGTTTAGCAAGCCTTTCTTTGGGATCACCACCTGACAGGAAAAGTTAATATTATTATTATTATTATACTTATGATTTATATGGATTTTGTACATTTGCCATGGTAACTCCATGTAAGCATAAATACTGGGTTGTGAGCACTCACTACATGGAGTTACATCACTACCTTGGCCAGGTCAAGTTGGAAGAATAGTGTGGCTTTTTAAAGTAAAGTTTCAAACAATTTCACTTCTACAGGACATTTTTTCATTATTTCATGTTATTATTTCAATGTATTGAAATTCACAATTGCTGTATTTTCTGTATTAGTAGAAAATTAAAATACAAATAATATAAAAGCTTGAAATTAAAATAAGTCTTATTACAAAAATCTACACAACAAATGTATTATTTGTTTTATGTGCGATTCTAAGAGTAAGCAATGCTGTTACATGTATACCATAAATGTAAAAACGTCTGTAACAAAATTTGATAAATAAATTATTGGAACAAACATAATTTTGAATGAAAAAAGGTTGAAATTTCTCCCGCAAAAAAAGGGTGACCATGGCGCACCAAAACATGCAGAATACCGGTAGAATAATTTATTTTTTAATTTTATGAATTAAAATTTCACCTCCACTATTGTTAATTAGTTCTAACCACAGAAAATAAAAACATTGACAAAAAAATGTGCTATATAAATCTTGAAGTATTTTTTCAAAAATCCCAAAACTTTACAAAATTCACCAGTAAAGCTAGGTATGACCTACAAAATGTTACATACTTGTATCGTCATTTGCAGTGTCATATTCAGCTCCAGATGAGCCAGCTAAAAATGCACCTCTTTGAAGTATTCTACCAATGTCAAATTGAGAAAATACAAGCCTATCGCCTTGTACTGGGGTAGATGTACGGCTGCTGTCAGGAGTGTCAGATTCTGTGAGCGAGATAAAAAAACAAAAAAATATAAAATAAATAAATCAACAGTTTGGTTAATACATGATTTATGCAAGTTGTTTCCATGGAGGTATAAATATATTTACTTCTGTAATCTCTCGAACATTAACCGATTTGAGACCGTCGAAAATTGGCACTTTTATAAATTGTCCAAACGTAATATACAGATTGGGTACCTATCTTACAGCTCTAGGGGAGACCCTTCTAACTAACAGTGTGGCATTTGGTGCCAATAAGGCTTGTGTTGTGTTCTTCCCGTTACCATTATTACCACTTATTTATCACACATGTCTGTAATTTCCAATGATTATTTCTTATCAGATTCGTCAATACCTTCTTTAATCTTCACTACATTTGGTGTCCATTGTGGTACATTTTTCACAATGGCTTCCATGGCTTGGCCTGCAGCTATACGGGTATCCCAGTTACTACTTTTCAGGTATATATGCACCTAGAAAACAAAAACAACAAATAAATAACTAAGAATTTACCGGGAACTTTTTTTCTCTGGTATTCCCAGTAAAAAACAATCAGTGGGAAAATGAGTTGAATGTTGGACACTAATCTAAGTTTGAAACTAGGATTTAAATACCTGAAAAATAGATTTAACAGTTTTAATGATTTTAAAAGCTTGTATGATCCATTCAACTATCAACAATATTATATACAATAAGATGAATTTTGCAAAACCACCAAAGTGCACTTACATATTCCAGTTTATAATGCTGAATATTACAATGGTGTTTTGTCCAAAGGGTATCATAAGGTATTTGCCATGTAACTACTATGCAAATTAGTCACATGTTCATTTTCAGCCAATACCAAAGTGTTATGCCTTTGCTAATCTTCAATCTTCTTTTTTTCCAGAAATTAATCAACAAATCAAAGCTAGGTTCAAGTATAGACCAACAAATAGACCATTTTCCGTTCACTGCGAGAATCATGCGTTATGCGTGAAATCGAACGTAAAAACAGGACAAACAAAGGTCATAGCGTCGTAGTCACGTCAAACATCGCGTGGGATTCGACAAACGCGAAAGTATTTTGGGGACATTTCCATGCTTAATAATGTGCTGTCTAAATTTGATGATAGGCAATTTCGATTAAGTAAGGGTATTCGGAAGCAATATTCCTCTGTCGAAGATCGGCCGGTTGGTGTGAGCTACGAAATAAGGAAATTCGAGTTCAAAATCAAATCGTTCGATTTTTGCAGCAGACGTTCGACGCGCGTCTTTCATGCATCTCGCGAGATCTCGCAATTGTACGGAAAATCACCTATTGAAAATGGTAATGTGAATCCAAAACTATCATTCATTGTTGCAGGATACACAGCTTTTACTTGTGAAAACAACCACAATACCCTGCAATTTATTTTTAAGTTGTAAGGCTAATGCTTTAAAACAATGCTACCTAAAGTCAATAATAAGACAGTAGTACTGAAACAAGTGTTAATTTCACTCCTATGACATTTTGAGTATATTTACTGAATTTTAAATCCAGTGAAACAATTAGTTTAATTCTAATTTCACTTGTTCATGTAGATTTAATTTAGCTGGTTTTGCTTATCAGCGAAAATAGCAAAATTAAAACTCAATGAAAAATTAATACCTTTACAGTAGTTACTGAAATTAATTTTATTTACATCATTTTCCATTATTTCATTTACTAAGAGCATGTCTGTTAATAATATAACAGGTGTGTCTATGGTCAGAATAAATCATATTTTAATATACAATAAATCCAATAATTATGCATAAACCAACAATTGTATTATTGTACACTTAATTATTACCGGTAAAATAAAATGTACGATTTTTTTTGACTGTGAACATACCTCCACATGTATATATTTCAATAGAGCAAGTATGGTACTGTAAAATACTTTATTTTAGCTGGAATTAATTTTCGCTGAAAAGACTTTTTGGGTGTGTATGGAATTTATTTTCACTGATTTTTGATGAGTTGAATGTTAAGTATAGGAAAAAAGGTATATTCACTGGATTTTATTTTCACTGAATCACTCCTTCAGCGAAAATTAATTCTAAACAAACATAAAGTATTTTACAGTACTTTGTTTTCATGCTAACATAACAATAACTCAATAAATAAAATGCTTGATGCAAATATAACTGTGATTAACAAGCCAACAATCCATGTACATGTACTAAAAAAATATTTTCTGTCAGTGTAAATCTTGCTAAAGTATCATACAATACATGTGACGCAAATATTAGTTCAATGATTTAACATGTTTCAGCATGAGAAATCACAAGCCATTTAGGTCAACATTTGAAACAAATAATGTATAAAACATGTCAGAATTAGCCTGGATGTGCCCTTTTGATTACCCTACAAGATATACTTGAATTTCATACATGTATATCATTGCTACTGAGATAAAAGTGAAATCAGATAATATGCAAATAACTATATTAACATGCACACAATAAACCATTTTCTGTTGACTGCGAGTCCCCACGTTATGCATGAAATTGAACGAAAAAACAGGACAAACAAAGGTCATAGCAAGGTAGCGGCTTCAGAACATCGCGTGGGATTCGTCAAACGTAAAAATATTTTCGGGTATTTCCTTGCTTAATAATGCGCTATACATAATTGATGATGATTAGTTATTGAAAAGGTATCTCAACGCAATGTTCCCCTCTCAAGGATCGCCATTACGACATTGAGCGATAAAAAGAAGAAACATAAATTCAAAATCAAATTGTTAGATCTTTGTGACAGGGGTTTGGTCCGCGCCTTTCACACAGTATGCGAGATCTCGGGGTGAACGGAAAATCACCTATTGAAAATTTGATAAGGGTCAGATCCACAGTACTGGATATGCAACATAAATGATTGTGTTCCATAATTATATGCTCTGATCATAATGATTGACAGACCACAATCACTGGAGAATCATCAGACTTTAGTTAGAGAGGAATCATCAAGAGACAGAAAGCTGAAGCGATAATAATCCGTACCACATCACAATCTGTGGGTTTTATCAATCCCCATGTAACTAATAAGTGTTCATTGCAGGAATAATGTGGGTGATAGTATTCCCCACAACAGGGGAAACTGATGGCAAAAAGTGCTCCCATGTGATTTTGATATCCTAGAAAGGAGGAATACAAATCTTACGGTCGACATTTACACCCGTCAGGATGGGCGGAGCTGAGTATTCTAATTTGACTGATTATTCAACGACAGTAACTGTCAATTTTTCCTTGTATGCAGATAGTCGACGTCTGCACTTATCTATTGTTTATGTGTATAGTTACTGATCTAAACTGTGTAAAATAAAATAAACAATTCATTCCTGGTGATGAATCCAAATTCTAGTTGGTGTACACACAGTTCCTTCTAAAGTGACGTGGTCTATGCTGCAATGTATAAACCATGTTGCGTAGAGTAAATAATTATTTTTGGCTGTATTTTGCTCTACTGTAATTCTAAACCTTGTCTCTGAATGATCGGTTGTTTTCCATTCTGTCTTACAATGTTTTATTCAAGATTACTTTCTATCCCAACCAACTAAGAGAACTGTAATAATTGTCTGAGATTACATGTATACTCATGTAGCCCTGCATTACAGTCTTCTGTTTTTCTCGTTCCACAAGTCAGCGTCCAATTTTTGGTGTCTGTGACTGTTCATTATAACAAGGTTACAGTACACCATATTTTTTTGTGTCAGTACATATAATACCTATTTCGAAATCGATCAAAGTGTGTCTGAGAAAACATGAAAATAATTTTCTAGGAAAACTAATGGCCACCAGGCAACCATTTTGAATCAGATCATTAAACAAATTGATGTGCATCAGTAACCAACCAACCATGAGTCTGAGAAAGAGTTGATTGATTTTTTGGGCCGAAAATGGCCACTTGTCTGACAAAGGTCAACAGAAAAGAACCAAAAAACTAATTGACGTGCATACATCTCCTATCAAGACCTTTGTACTAACTTCAAACAAAATCAGTCAAGGCATATTTCAGAAATGACAAACAACACAAATCCCAAAACATAACAGGTTTCGTACTGGGTTTGTCTGGTGGAAACTAAAAAACTATTCAAAGTCTTCACAAAATTCCATGTTCAAAATGGGTCCTGCGTAATTTATGCAATGCATGTAAGACACATGCTGTAATATGGCTGTGGAGCTTCAAAAAAAAATGTGGAACAGTATGGTCAAAGGTCGAATGTTTGGGCCAAGGTTACTTGTTACAGTATAACCAACTACTGGACAGGATCTATAACTTTGGATAAACGGTAAAATTAAAGGTAATTGGCTACTATTATATGTTGTTGTTCACACAACCCAGATAAAAATATATCGTTACAAAACTACTTTTCATTCACACAAAACATAGGTCAAACATAAACTTCATCATTATATCTCAACATTTTTTTGGGTTACATATTTTTTATGGATATTTATGGTTTCCAGGAATTATTCATTTTTTAATGAAATATTTCTTTAACATAGTTTTCTATAGAATTGTTCAAAAATTTGCATTTTTGCATTTTTTTACGCAGTTTTTCTCCCACCAAATATTTTTGTAATGGGAATAAAATCTGAAATTTGTTTGTCAAAATCAATAATCTAATATGCGATAATTTAAAAAAAAAATTTGATTAAATTTGTTTAATTCTTAGGTCAAATACCTGTGATCTACCATGAAAATAAATAAATGAGTGATTAACAAACTATATTGTTATGCAAATTAGCCATGCCATTGCAATTTCCTGTATATACCAATCCCTTGTATTATTGTTAGTACAAGCTAAGTGAATTCATTCATATTGATACAATAAATTGATACAGTAAATTTTGACTGCTAAAATGTTCGAAAGTTCATATTTTTGAAAATATTTGCAATGACGAAACTTTGCAAACATCACTGTGACTTTTTGTCTTAAATCATGGTTGTATAAACAAAAGATGACAACCAGATTTCAGTTTGTAGAATTTCCTCTGTGAATTTTATCAGAGTGATCCGGAAAATTGTTTTTTTTTTTAGTATTCAGAACAAATGAATATTTTATATTTCTTTCTTACAAACATTGCGATGGGCATCTTTTGTGGTCAGTTATATTTTGTACAAAAATCAACAATGGTTGGATAGGTATATTATTTCCACTTTGCAGTATATTGTAGCCAGTACTTGTAGACTTTGTTCTCTAGCATAAGATTTTAATGTGCATTTTGTTCATAAATGCTGTATGATCTTTGGGCCTACCAGTGATTCAGAGTCCTGTGTTCTTTGTTAGAACAGAACATGTGCTATATTGACTAAAAAACAACGTTGCTATGGTTTTAGACTCATGACAAACTAAAAACAAAAGAAACCGTCTGATCCAAGCGTCCTTCGTACATGAAAAATCAAGTCTTATTGCCCTTGCATTTTTGAGCGAACCAACAATGATGCCAAAAATGACAAAACTTCGGCCAATCTTCTACAATTTTTTATAATATCATTTATTCAGTCTAAAAGTTAGATAGGTTATTCATTAGAATTGCCTAGGCAACCAGCATTTGTGACATTTCATTCCGGCAATAAAAAAAATTGGTGATAATAGCCAAAGGGGTGAGGGACTGAATTTCAAAAATATATTTTGAACAATAAAATCATGAATGTTTGTTGAATATAAGTTTGATGTTAGTTTACTAGTTAGGTAAGATTTAATTGCAATTCTCCTCTAAAAATTGATGAAAAGGCACATTTTAAACTGCCTTCAAGTCTTTAAAATTACCGTCCATCATAAGTGTATTCATATCAAGGTGTTACATGTACCAGTAATAGGCAAAATAAAAGTGTACAAAATATACATGCTAAATGACATTTCCCACATTTTTTCAGCTACACTATTTTGCAATTTCCCCAGGCTTGCAGATTTAATGAATTTTGTCTTACTCAAAAGTAAAGCCACTTATACTGAATAAGTTCAAGGTAACATGCAATACAAAAATTGAAAAAAGTGTGGCTTTAGGCTTTGATCAGTATCTTAATCTGTAAAACCATAAAGAAAAGATAAAAAATGATTTGCTTATTTTTGAAGCATACGAAAAAGAGCCCCAATACTATTTTTTTTATCTGAATCCCACTCTACTGAATAATCTCCTGTTGATCACTGTTTGAATGTATACTCAATCAAAGTCCTTTAAGAGCATGGATCTAAACAATAGATCTAAGTTTACCTCCATGGATAGAGGGACTGTGTCTGTGACTCAATGTATGGAATGTCTGGTTTGCTTGATTTGTTTCTCAGCAGATTTTTAAGACTCCTACAAGGTTTACATAAAACCATGGGTTTTGAAGCACACAGATTTCCAATTTTTTTACAAAACAAAATTATTTTCCATCAAGATGTTGAAGAACATTTTTTTTAGTGATTTTGCCATCAGACTTTCTCACCCAAACTATTCTGCACTTTTTTCTTTTATTCTTCAATATTTCTGGAAATGAACCCTAATTTTGGAGCCAACAGACAAAGTTTGAGTCAATTTTCAGCTTTTAATCAAAAAATTTGGTTATTTTTGTCCCAATCTTCTGAAAGAAATTGAAGACTATAATCAAAACTACACATATTTTGTGAATTTGTGATTGAACGAGGATGGTGGAAAGGTTAAAGCGAGAGGGATTTCACCTGCGCACGCACAGGAATTGAGTCCCAAGCGACGATAACAGATGCTAAAAATGCAAAGGCTCATGGTAGACAATGACACGCTATGCATGTTAGAAAAAAACTGCAAGAGGGAGCACTGCAATTTAGCGGCGTCACTAAGTGGGAGGAGATAGGGTACTCCCTACCAGGGTGTGGAGTTTTTGATAATTCTAAGTTAAAATGGAGCATTCTATGACTTCTTTAGGGCCAAAATTACTATCAGACAGGTCACAGTTGAATATTGTGGCCACATGTGATCCCTGGTCAATCAGAATTTTACGGTAGTCAGAGGATCTGCTCCCCAGGGTAAGGGGGGGCATAGCCTTGGCATGAGGAAGCTGTGCCCCTCTTCCCTTGTTTAAAAAAATCTCTGCGCTATGGCCATCTGACGCATGACTCCCTCGCTTTAAGGAAAACAATGAGTTATTGTGGTAAGCTTAATTGATTGGAATAAAGGAAATTATGATTTGTTCAAGTAATGACACTCACCTTTGCAAGTAGATTGTGCAACTCGTGTGGATGAAGTTTCTGTACTTCTCCAAGCTGTTGAGCAGCAGCTTTACGAGTGACTGGGGTGGAACCAGTGTCCAGCAATAAAAATAATCTGTCCAACCTGATTTTTGAAGAAGAAGAAGAACATATTAATTAAACCCCAGAAAAAAAAGTTTGTACATCTATTTTTTTATTAACTTTTAAAATTGTGCTTTAATTTGATTTTTTTTTTAATTATTAATTTCATTCAAATCCTGATAAAAATGCAAGAGCAATTATGTTTAATTGGCACACGATAATGATTAAACTATGACCATTTGTTCCAGGCCTAAGCATATGATTTGTATTGTTAGAAAATAAATATGCAAATTGCATTATTGAATTATGCAAATTAGTTGCTATTTTTGGGCATTCACCAGGGAACAACACTGAACCATTATGTCATCAGAGCAATATTATGTAATATATATTGAAATATAAGAAATAGAGATTAGGTTTGTGCAAAAAATTATAGGGTAGTCTACTTCTTTTACCACAAGACACAGCAATGCCTTTGTATAGAAGTGACAGAGAGCTGCCCATTTATTTATATCCCCAGAAGCATAACACTGTCATACATGCAGAAAGTAAAATGACTATTTTATGAATAATATATGGAATATAAAATATAAAAAAATGGCATTTCTCAGATTTATTAATAACAGATGGCTACAAATTGCTACCTGATTTGTATTTTAATGATCCAGCAAAAAATGTAATTTTGGGTTTATCAACACCCAGAAATACAACAGACAACAAAGTCTCGTCTTCGGGCTACTATTCTCCAAAACTAGTAGCCCACCTAGACTACTGGAAATTTAGAAAATATTGTTACTTAGTTTTTTTTAAAATAAACCAATTAGTCTTGAAAATGTCCTACACAAATGACATTTAGTTATTTCTATTCACACTTTTTTGCATAGCTATAAGTACCTCCTAAACTACTGAATGTTACTATGGGGGCTACCGGTACTAGCTTTTTAAAACTGGTAATCCAGCAGACTTCCAGGCAATGTTGTTAATTAATTTTGGGTCCTGAGTGTAGTGAATAGCTGCATGTATCTAGGGGTTACAAGGCATGATTATATCATATCCTGAATGCATTTCCCAAGATGATTAAAACAAATGATTACAATCACATAAGTGAATGAGGGCACATATATGTCATAACACATTGTAGATCTCATATCAGGCCATCTGTGCTCCAAAATGAGATAAGGTTCTACTACATGTAGGCTTAAAATAAAAAAAGTGCACAAATTTTAATATGTATATCATATTTGTTCTATTCGTAGTGTACATGCTTATGTAATTTACAATGGTGTTTCTATGGTTTCTAAGGAAGCAATAGCTGTGATTTTGAATTTTGTTTTTGTTTAAATGTATCTACACCTAATCTTAATGAAATCTTGAAATCGGTCATGTGATGAGGACAGTAGAAAACAATGATGCATGACACACATTACTACAAGAAATGAAACATAAAATCATCAGTGAGAGGCTGTCAGAGCGAGGTCTAGTTTTTCAACATGACAATGTATTTGACATTTAGCGCAGGATCCTCACTAAGTTGTCATCTTGTACCCTAATCCCGAGGTTCGTTTGACAATAGATGTCTACCTCTGGAGTCGCTAACAAAACTCTGGGCTTTTTTTTTTTGCAAGTGATTCAGTACATGTACAACAAAGGTATATGCTTTCAGTGTAAACTTTTCGGCAATGACCATTACAAATTGGCACTATAAACACATTGTACAAGGTAAGAATTGTAAAATTAAAGTAGGTTTAATTTTAACGAATTTTTTGTTGCATGTACAGTATGTATGTAGTGAGGTTAGAAGGGTTAAAAACATTATATTGTTAAATTAGAATATTTAATTTAACTATTGTATTTATCTATTGGTGACATAAAAAATAATAATTAAGTTCACTACAGCATGCAACACTTTTTGATTTACATATTACATACATCTACATGCAATAAATAAATAAATAAATAAATAAACAGACAGACAGACAGACAGACAGACAGACAGACAGACAGACAGACAGACAGACAGACAGACAGACAGACAGACAGACAGACAGACAGACAGACAGACAGACAGAACAAACAAACAAACAAACAAACAAACAAACAACAAATAAATAAATAAATAAATAAATAAATAAATAAATAAATAAATAAATAAATAAATAAATAAATAAATAAATAAATAAATAAATAAATAAATGATAGTTCCAAATCAAATTGTTCAGCCAAATATCAAAGCAACATGTCTATGCAGCGAGTAGTGAAAGTAACTACATGTACAAGAAGATGGTTAATTGGTTAATATTCATCATAAATGTATTCACTACACATTTCAATTATGAAACGATGATCTGAAACGAAATGTCAAAAGAATAAATAACAATTTGAGAAATACACGGATAAGAGAAGGCAATGGATAATGCTGCCGGCATTAATATAATTTTTTTACAAAGCACTACACGATCTGTATATCAAGTATCAGTCACGAGACCGTTGTTATTATTGTATACAACAATCAATTCCACAATTACCTTGTCGCCATCTTGTAAATGATTTTCAAAGAACAGCTCAAATCTTGGCAGTGAGTGCGGCTCGTCTATATAGCACCCCAGGGTTCTGAAACAATGACGCCGCGGCGGGGCGTAACACGGATGCTAAAAGTCAGTCGATCAGTGGAACTCGATGACAGATCAAAACGCAAACAAAATACACGATAAGCGGAAGAATTTCTCTCTCTTTTCAATGAAAAACATACACTGTTATGTCCCACTGCGAAAAGCAGAAGTAAATGTAGTGTTCAAAATCTTGTTTCTGGCGTTCGGGTAGCGGTCTATGGGATAAGAATTGCAATTTCCTTTTTCCTGATCCAGCACAAGCCTCTCATCATACCACTAACATCCGCCATGTCCGGATCAGCTGGGATTAGAACACCGCCTAGGCTAGTCAAAATAAACAAATGCCGTGTCGTGCCACATTATTCGGGATACTGCTTAAAACTATGAATAATTTATCGTTGGTCGCTATAAACAAAGTTTAATTTGGAAATATAACTATTTAATACAGAACTATTTATCTTAGTTTCTCAGACCTAAAGTAATTATACTAATGTCGACGTATTTTCAAATCGCCTAGAGGGTCAAATTTCGAAGTCAACATCATGGCCGCGGCTTCTCATGAGTTTCGACAGAAGCATCCAAAAAACCGGAAGAATAAGTTTAAGTTGGTCTTTGATGAAGAAAACAGAGCGTAAGTATGATTTTTTAAAGATGTCGATTGAAAATGTGTGTTCTAACTTTCAAAACTGAAAGACGGCGTGATGAGACCAGGGTCAAACACACTTCATTCATTTTTTTGTTTTAGCCACAGTCCCTCTATCCCCGGTCTAGAAACGGTCATTGTATTAGGTGTGAATTGGTCTTCTTCCCTGGCAAAGGCGCATTGCGGGTGTGGGCAAAGCATTGTCACGTGATCAGTACGTGATTTGACATCGTCGGTGTTATGTATTTTTTTAACAACTTAGTTGTTTATTCCAGAATTCGTACTTTTTCACATAATTTTTTAATCAGGATATCTGTATAAGGTCATATTTTAACCGGCGAGTAGTTCTTTAATTAATTCATCTATGTTACCAGCAGCGACACATTTTCGCAACAAATTTTCATACCTTTACCCAGATATTTGTCGTTTTTGATTTTGGGGTGATTGAAATTCAATTTTATTTACCATACTTCTCGGCGCGAAACCAATATTTGTCTTCAAATTTGACATTTTATGATCAAAACATATCATTAAAAATTGGTGGGCTGATTTGTTATTTGTCACACCGCATTTTATTAATGTTAAATTGAGTGACTTTTATGGATGCTTTTTAGATCGTAAATGCAAATGGCGACGTTTTGAAATGACAATGTACTCAATTCTGTGCTAAAAAAATCATTTATATACA